GGGTGTGTTGTGTAGAGGGAGGGTGTGTTGTGTAGTGGGAGGGTGTGTTGTGTAGGGGGAGGGTGTGTTGTGTAGTGGAGGGTGTGTTGTGTATGAGTGGGAGGTGTGTTGTGTAGGGGTAGGGTGTGTGTGTGGGGAGGTGTGTTGTGTGTGGGGAGGGTGTGTTGTGTGGGGGGAGGGGTGTGTTGTGTGGGGGGGGAGGGTGTGTTGTGGGGGGAGGGTGTGTTGTGCAGGTGGAGGGTGTGTTGTGTGGGGGTGGGGTGTGTGTTTGTGGGGGGGGAGGGTGTGTGTTGTGGGGAGGGTGTGTTGTGTGGGGAGGTGTGTTGTGTAGTGGGGAGGGTGTGTTGTGTAGGGAGGGTGTGTTGTGCAGTGGGGAGGTGTGTGTTGTGTGGGGGTGGGGTGTGTTGTGTGGGGGGGGAGGGGTGTGTTGTGTGTGGGGAGGGTGTGTTTGTGTGGGGAGGGTGTGTTGTGTGGTGGGAGGGTGTGTTGTGTAGTGGAGGTGTGTTGTGTGGGGAGGGTGTGTTGTGTAGTGGGAGGGTGTGTGTTGTGTAGTGGGAGGTGTGTTGTGCAGTGGAGGGTGTGTTGTGGCAAGGGGAGGGAGTGTGTTGTGTAGGGAGGTGTGTTGTGTGGGGAGGGGTGTGTTGTGTAGGGGGAGGGTGTGTTGTGTAGTGGGAGGGTGTGTTGTGTAGGGGGAGGGTACAATGTAGGGAGAAGATGCTGTGAGGGGCTGTGTTATGCTGTGAGGGGCTGTGTTATGCTGTGAGGGCTACAGGAGGGAACGTGTAGAGGCTAATGGTGGATATTGAACTCTTGTCTCTACGCCCTTGTGACTCTTACTGTCGTCTCATTACCTGTGTGTGTGTGATTTTCTTTGGTGGTGTGTGACTTGCCAGATATAATATGAGATGGAGGAGGAGGAAGAGGAAAAGTAAGACGAGAAGGAGGAGGAGGAGGACAAGGAAGGAAGGACTCCTGGATGCTTCGTGGCGTCCGGCCAGGAGGTCACGCCCCCTTGTCCTTACTGCGTCCTCCCCTGCTCTCACCTCATTCTCTCCTCTATCTCCTCCTCCTCCTTCTTCTCCTCTTCTTTCATCTCCTCCTCCTCCCCCCCCCCTCCTTCTTCCCCAGGGGTGCGTAATCTTCAGGTGAACCAGAATGAAATAAATTCTCCTTTATCATAAATCTAGTTTAATTTTTTGGTTTTAAGTCGCGTTGGCCATTAATTATTCGGAGGAGGTCCATAACAGAGGCGTTCCAGATGAAATTCCAAGATTCCAGGATTCCAGGGAGACCTTTGATGATTATGTTTTCTATGGGCTGCAGGGAATGTCTTGATGCTGAGCCTTCCATCCATCTGCTTTTATTGTGTGTGTGTGTGTGTGTGTGTGTGTGTGTGTGTGTGTGTGTGTGTGTGTGTGTGTGTGTGTGTGTGTGTGTGCGTGCGTGTGTGGGGCGTGTGTGTGTGTGTGTGTGAGAGAGAGAGCATAACAGGTGACGAATCCTGACGGTTCTCCTTGATGCATTCTAAACAGGTATGAACCTCCCTACCTGTTCTAATTCACCTGGAAACACAGAGGCGTCAATACGAGGAACAACAAGCATCTCTACACACACCCAAGCCTTTCACATTTACGAGTCAACTCACGACATTAGATACCTGGACCTGACCTCACACACACACACACAAATAGAACTGTTATATCTGTTTAAGTATTTACAACAAGCTAGTGGTTATATTCCTAGTACTAGCTCACACAATATGCTAGTATATACCCCACAACAGCTCCTCAACCAAGATTCGAACTTAAGATCACAAGTTGACCTACTCAGTGTAATAACCACTCCACCACCACCAGTACTTCAAGTCGATTCATTATCAAGTTAGAAATTATTACAGGACACTTAACTCCTCTCGTCGCTGAAGTTACTGTTGCCATCTGGTGAACTGTGAATTCTCTACTGCCATATCTTAATTGGCCTAGTTAATTCTTGTACGATTTTTAAGTTTGTATTATCTGTATATCCACGGGGTGATAGGTCTATTTGTTCTGTGTATTAATGCATTGTGGTGTTATTGGTATGTGGTGTATGTTGTTTGTTTTGGTGTGTGGAGTATGTTGTTGTTTGTGTTGGTGTGTGGAGTATGTTGTTGTTTGTGTTGGTGTGTGGAGTATGTTGTTGTTTGTTTTGGTGTGTGGAGTATGTTGTTGTTTGTGTTGGTGTGTGGAGTATGTTGTTGTTTGTTTTGGTATGTGGTGTATGTTGTTGTTTGTTTTGGTGTGTGGAGAGTGTTGTTGCTTGTGTGTGAGTATGTTGTTGTTTGTGTTGTTGTCACGTTGGTTGTTGAGGGATTGTTATTATTATCTGTTCATAGACGTGAGGTCCCAGGGGCGTCTCTTACCTGCAGGCAGTATAATGCAGCCTCCCAAGGGCACATGTCAGCCCCACACGCCGCCCTCAGCAAGAAAACTGGTTTGTTGCCTTTGTGTGGCGCAACCCTGTGGGCGTGTGTACACTGGGGCCCGGTTGTACGTGTTGGGGCCCCCAGGCTACATATAGTAGTGCATTGGGGTCCGGTTGTATCTGAAGGCTCACCCAGGATGCATGGGGGTCAAGTCTGATTGCAGGATGAAGTGTATGGTCGCCGCTACAGTGATAAGCTGCCACAAGGTGTACACTAGACACTAGCTGTGGTCGAGGATTTGTACACCTGCAGGGGCCATAGTGTACATCTGTAGGATCTATAGTGTACAGCACAAACACCTGTAGAATATATGCACACCTGTACAATATTTTGACCCCTACCCTACCCTACCTTACCCTACCCTACCTTACCCTACCCTACCCCACCATACCCTACCCCAAGGATATTATACGCAAAGAACAGTCATTACGCCAAGAGGTACGCAAAATAGGTGCATAGTCGACAAAATGAGTATTTACGTCTTGCTGCCACAGTTGTTGACCTGAGGGCGAGCTGTGACGTTCGTTCGTGAAATATTTCTTACAACTGAAGCATTGAGAAAGCAACTGACTGTCTCACCTTCAACCATCACACAAACATAGGAAAAAAATGGCTTTAAAAGTGCATCAAGACTGTAGTTTAAGTTAATGTCAGATCGTATTAATAGTAGTAGGAGTAAAAATTGATTGTCCGGATAACTAAGAATGCGGACAGTGCTGCGTTGCCAAGTATTAAACGTGCTGGGGGAAAAGTGGAGGTGTTTTTCACGGCGTGGTGCCCTGGATGACCGTCAGGGCGGCAACAGTGTACATGACCACCACCACCAGCCTCCCAACACCAAGTCACCCGCGAACCTTTAACCCTGAGAGAAAAATCGTGAATTTAAAACAAAACAGGATTTTCTGGGGTCTCATTTCTTCCCTTCCGACCATCAGTGGTGTCTTGTGTAGGGGAATTTTGCTAGTAGAGAAATATTTGTGGGAGTAAACAGAGGCGGATTGTTGGCTTCGTCTAGCCTGGCTTTAGACTGACTCCACCACCACTACGACTCTCTCTTCTCTCTCAAGTCTCTCGTCTCTCTCTCACTCCTCACCGCTCAGGCCGTGTTTTGTTGTGACGTCATCGGTATCTGAGGACGGGAATTCCTGCATATTTGAATGTTTTTTTGGTTTTATTTATACTCTAGTTAATTATATTTAACTGAATAAACTTAACTTAAAATCATTAGGTTCAGTTATTTACATGAACTTAAGATCATTGGTGTAGGTTTAAGTTTAATAAATCCAGATCTTTACCAGTTTGTATAACACTTCTCGGGGGTGAAGAATGCGGGTGGGCCTTTACGACACACACTCAGACCTCTGTGTTGGGACATAACATCTGAGTCTGCCCAGTGCTTGTCTTTACTGTGTGTCTCTTGAAGATCACTGTGTTGGGAGAATAAACTCATTGTCACTGTTTATATTGAACGGATGTATATATTTTGTTCAGATTTATATATATTGTGTTAATGTGGTTATTTTCCGAAATGTCGTGATTTGTTTTTGTTTTTTACTTGTACTTATCATGTCCTGTGTCGTCATAATATTTATTTGTCAGAAATACGAACAAAAACGAACGCATCATTTAGAAAACTAAATAATTAAGTAAGATAACATAATTATAGCTTTTTTTATATTTGCGTTATATTTTATATTTTAGCTCCATCTTAATTTTCCTGTGACGTAATAGAGTTTAAACAGATTTTCTTTTTTACAGTAAATACAAACGCTTTATGTACTACCGATAACCTATTGCAAATTATTATATTTTTCTTAATTAAATTAGTGTTTTTCAGGGCAATTCGTGCGACTGAAAGAGTAAAAAAATAATGATAAAACAAAGAAACCTAATTAATTGAATGTCAGTGGAATTCTTTTAGGTGTTAATAAAATCCTCAAAAAGCCTTGATGTGAGAAAAAACAATATAAGAATAATCCACACGTATTGGTATAGTTTCAAATGTTGCCAGAAGATACAAAAACAACATAAATGTCTCTTTCTACATTTATATGACATTGTTGTGGTGTTTTTACAAGTCTTTTATAGCTGAAACTGAATTATATCCAGAATGAGAGGAATTTTTTTCAGTATTGGAACCCAGATAATCACACGTAGATAGAAATTTACATTAAAACAATACCCCTTTGATGACCACTAATGATATAGAGTTATTTATTCTGTTATTTGTGATTTATTGAAAGATGGGTTAAATTATTAATATTATTACGGGTTTAAAGTTCTTCCTTATAGACAGAGAGACAGTAGAACAGACAGATACAGAGGGCAGAAAAACAAATAGAAAACATACAGACATGACAGGTAGACAGACATATTATAGAAATGCAAGACAAAAAGACAAAAAGACATGGAGATAAGAGATACATACAGACAGCACCAAGCACACGCCCATGATAACAGACAATACCCCCCCGAGTGAGTCTTTTCCTCTCCATAAGATAACACCAATTAAACTTCCTCCTCTTTCTTATTTCAGGGTTGTGGCGCCGCGACTCTACCACACCGGTGAGTAGAAAGTTGAGTCAAAGTTTGAGTCTTAGGTGACTCAAGAGTGTGTTGTGTGAATCAAGAAGTTTTTGGTTTATCTTGATAAGTCAGGTAAGTTTTGGTCTCATAGCGCCACGGAGCTCCTAGCGGCCGGGGTGTGAGTTACGATGTACTAAAAGGAAAATATAAGGAGGAATTTAAGGCTGTATGTTGTTCAGAGTCGAGCGCCACGGGGTTCAAGAGGCCGGGTGTGAGCTACGATCAAATATAAGCCCGGTTTATTTCACCTGAATGTTAACCACCCTAACCTAATCCAACCCTCTAGGCAGTGTTAAGGTTTCTAATCAACAGGTAAAATAAGCTTGGGTGTCTAATCTACATTTAATACAATAAATTTAATATACCGAAGTGTGACCGAGACGTACGGACGAGACCTAGACACTGGCGGGCCGTCACGGATGAAAATAAACACTGCCAGACTGACCGTGGACACTGACCAACCTTGGCAAACTCCACGTGTATGCGGGCCACGCAGACCATGACGTCAGTTTAGTACCCATCCCAGTGCTGGTTTGTGGTTTAATGTAGATTGGTCTTGGTTTAATGCCTCAGGGTTGGTTTAATATGATGGTTTATACTGTTGAGTTAGGTTAGGTGATAAGTGAAGTTCGGTTAGGTTAAGTATAATTAGTAAAGCTCCTGTCAGTCTGTCTGTCTGTCTGTCTCTGTGCAGGAGAGTGACGGTTGATGGGAGGAGGAACCGTATACGTGACGCTGGAAATAGACCAATCAGCACCCATCACTCCCGCATAAACGTGGATTATGCCCAAAATTAAAGCCAGCGAGGTGCATCAGGCGAGACAAGACAAGATTAGTCAATCATGTCAATTCATGTCAAAACAAGACAGACACAAGTCAAGACAGACACAAGACAGACACAAGACAAGACAAGGCAGACAATAGACAAGACAAGACACTAGACAAGACAGACACCAAGTCAGACAAGACAGACACAAGACAGACACAAGACAAGACAAGGCAGACAATAGACAAGTCGCTTCATATTTTTTTAAGTTTTAGAGTTTGGGAATATCTTTCAGAGTCTAAACTAAACTCATCTGGAAAATAACCGCCTTGAACCCCTTGAGTACGACGACATAGCCTCCTGAGTACGATGACTTAACCCCTTTGACCTAACCTCCTGAGTACGATCACCTAAACCCTGAGTACAATAACCTAACCCCTTGAGTATATTGACAACCTTTCTCTTCATCTCCTGACAGCTGACGTTTATGATAGATCGAGTGGCTGTCAGCTAGATAGAGGCAGCATTATATCAGCTGTCAGTGTACTTAGTCTTGATTGGGTTTTGACTTTCAGTATTGTGGTGACAGGAATTTCTTATCTCTGTTATCTTCAATGTAAATTTTAACTGCGTATTTTTCCTCTTTATTTTTTATTTTTATATGTGGGTGCTCAAAACGTGTGAAATTTGTATATACAGCCGTTTTCTTTTTCTAGTATGGATATAAAGAACGTGTAAATTCCCTCTAAGATCCCAGAACATGTGAATCCAGCCTTTGTTTTCCTTCTTACAATCCCGGTGCTCAAAACGTGTGAATTTCCTGCTTATTCTTTTTTTTCCTAGTATGAGCATAAATAACGTATAAATTCCCTATAAGATCCCAGAACATGTGAATCTACCCTGTGTTTTTCTTCTTACAATCCCGGAGCTCAAGACTTGTGAATTTTAGCATCTAGGCCCTCCTCCGTCTTGGTCCCTCATCCGTGTGAAACAAACAACATGGCAGCCTCAAGCCCTGGGGATTGTGGGCGTCCGGAAGGGGATTTTACACCCTGACACACCTGTAGATACCAGAACCTGGAATTAGTGTTGCTGGGGAGTTTGTGGTGTGTTGCTGAGGGAGGTTTTTGTATTGCTGGGATGGATTGTGGTGTGTTGCTGAGGGGTGGGGCCTGTGTTACTATATTGGTGTTGTATTGCTAGGGATGGTGTCGTATTGCTAGGGATGGTGTTGTATTGCTGGGGATGGTGTTGTATTGCCGGGGAGGAACTTATATTAGTGCGGATGAGTTCATGTTAATGGCGAGATAAACGTTGATGAGGACCGTGTGAATATGGGGGATATTAGCATTGATGGGGGAGTATGTATGAGGAATTTAATACGTCTCCTCATCATCTCTCTCCCCAGAACAAAACTTTCTGGCCTGAGAATATCTTAAGAATGTTAATTGCATGGTGGAATGATTTGCAAGAGAAGTTTGTTGAAGAAAGGTAATACATTTTTCTGCTCTCTCTCTCTCTCTCTCTCTCTCTCTCTCTCTCTCCGATTCTAATATATTTTAAGGGCAGGGAGAATGGAAATAAAAGGAGGATGGAAGGGGGAAGGGAAGCATGAAGAGGGGAGAAGGGGAAGGGAGAGGAAAGAAGATAAGAGAGGAGAGGAAGGGAAGAAGGGTGATAATTTCTTCTTCTTTTTTACTAGTAGGGTCGTTCCCCAAGGGGTGATATGGGGACCTTTTTATGTTGGGTATAATGAGGGAAAATGAGTGATGAGGTGGGCTAGTTGGCTCGAATTTAGGAAGGTCGCCAGCCTCACTCACTCATTCATTCACTCACTCACCCACTCATTCATTCATTCACTCACTCACTTACTTAGTCACCGAGACGCATAACTCGTGAGGTTATTTTCAGATGGCCTCCAACCTCACCCATATCCCATTTGAGGAAGGAACTGGACTGTGAGGTTGGGAGGCTCGGCTCGGCTCGGCTCCGTGAGGTCAGTGGCTTCATGTTGCTTCATCTTAGTGAGGAAATAAAGTGTAAGGTTTTGCTCCCATTAATCTCATGAGGTCGCTGGTCTTAGACGGTCTTATCTCAGTGAGGAAAGGGTGAGGAAGGGAAGAGAGGGAGGGAGGGGTGACGAGAAAGGGAGAGGAGAGGGTGGGGAGCAGTGGGGGTGACGAGGAAGGGAGAGGAGAGGGTGGGGAGCATTGGGGTTGACGAGGAAGGGAGGAGAGGTGGGGGGCAGTGGGTTGACGAGGAAGGGGTGGGTAGGGGGTGTGGTAGTGACGTATTAACAACATTCAGTAAAAGTTATGAAGACTCAGCAAGTTTGTTCTAAATTACTGACAACACGTTTAGAGAAGTTCAGCCTCTACGGTCTCATCTCACTCGTGGTCTCGTCTCACCATGATCTCGTCTCGCTCATGGTCTCGTCTCATTCATGGTCTCGTCTCACCATGGTCTCGTCTCATTCATGGTCTCGTCTCACTCATGGTCTCGTCTCACCATGGTCTCGTCTCATCCGTGGTCTCGCTGCGCTCTGGTCTCGCTTCACCATAGAATAGACAAACATCTCCCCCAGGGTGTCTCAAAAGCCAACACAGACAGGAGAGAGAGAGAGAGAGAGAGAGCTACTGGTGACAGCTGCTGGTCTTGGGGTGGTTTGAGGAGTAACAGGAGAACATCCAGTGTGCTGTTTCTTCACCACATTCTTTCTTCTTTCTTCTTTTATTGTCATTTCTTCTCTAATTCCATTTGTCTCAGTAAAAACAAATGCCGAAGGAGGTTAATTGTTTTTATGTGTCATGTTGAGAGTCATCAGTTCCTCCTTCGTGATACTCTTTTGTTTTTTATTGTGTTTCTGTCGTTTATTGTGATTGTGTCATTGATTGTGATGCGTTTTTGTTTTAATTTAGATTTTTCCTTTACCACCTCTGGCGCTGTGAAACTCCTATCTCTATAAATCTCTTTTTGGCTCTATATAATTCCTTCTGGATCTATAAAATTCTTCTGGCTCTATAAAACTCCTCTAGCTCTATAAAACTCCTTCTGTTTCTATAAAACTCTTCTAGCCAGCGAGGAAGTCATTTATTTTACATACTAAGAGACATCAAACATTTCTTCATGACATCCTTCTGACGTTTATAGTGACAATCTCTTTTAGTCTTTCTCCTCTTGATGATTCCGTAAACTCAGTGGTCATGAGAGACGAGTTTTACATACCAGATCCCTCAAATTTCTCTCTTCATAAAACCCTTTTCCTTCTCTCTCTCGTTTATCATGTCTTTTTCTCTTTTACATCCTGGCTTCGTAAAAGAAATATATCCTTGAATAAAAAAAAAGTCCAGGATTTTGCATATTAGAGACATAACGTTTTTTTGTGGTGTTTATTTGTACGTTTTTGTGGTTTTATTTTTTTACTCCTGGTGGTCATCTTTTGAACTACTTTTACTCCTGGTGGTCATCTTTTGAACTTCTTTTACTCCTGGTGGTCATCTTTTGAACTACTTTTACTCCTGGTGGTCATCTTTTGAACTTCTTTTACTCCTGGTGGTCATCTTTTGAACTTCTTTTACTCCTGGTGGTCATCTTTTGAACTTCTTTTTACTCCTGGTGGTCATCTTTTGAACTACTACTCTGGTCATCTTTTGAACTACTTTTACTCCTGGTGGTCATCTTTTGAACTTCTTTTACTCCTGGTGGTCATCTTTTGAACTACTTTTACTCCTGGTGGTCATCTTTTGAACTTCTTTTACTCCTGGTGGTCATCTTTTGAACTTCTTTTACTCCTGGTGGTCATCTTTTGAACTACTGAAGAAGATAGAGGAGGAGGGTAGTTTTTTTGTTATTTTTTACCCCCTGGCTGGTTTGATGAAGACGAGGCGGGCCATCTAGCTAGCCAACTAGTCTCATATTCCCAGGGGATGTTTTTTGGGGTAGACAGTGTTGGGTGGGGACGTACAGCTGTTTGGGAAGAGAGTATGACAGTGTGTGTGTGTGTGTGTGGTGAGGTTCCTAACAATGCCATGTGCAACCAAGCTTCTGTCTGTAGGAGGGAAGGATATTTGGTTATGAAGGAACGACGTGTGAGGGCTAGGGTACCTGTAGGAGGGAAGGAGTAGGAGTGTCATCTTAGCACCAGCGACCCCAGCAATCCTTCTTGTCTAGGTGTCAATGACAGCCTAATGGCACCCGGGGAGGAACAGTGGTG